TCATATTGAGAAGTTTCCCGAGGAGTCAACCAGTTGAGTCCAAAAGTCCAAACGCCTTCAGTAAAAAAACAAACCCAGTCGGAATTGGTTTAATAACACACGCACACACACACACACACACACACACACACACACACACACACACACACACACACACACACACACACAGTGAGAGACAGACAGACAGACAGACAGACAGACAGACAGACAGACAGACAGACAGACAGAGACAGAAAACACCCAAGCCACCCCAATGCTGTGTCGTTGGCATTTAGGCTGAACAGACAGTCTGTCAACCGTCGTTTCGGCAAACCGTTAAAAGCCCACAATTATCGCAGAATATTACAGGTTGCCGCCAGCGTTTTAAAAAAAGGTGGCCACTGCTATGTGGAGTTGAGAAAGGCAGAAAGGCATGTAAACCACAGTGAGGCCAACAGATTTCTCAATACTGTCTGCATGTGTTCTAGCAAAAGTTTTACGGTACTTACAACACAATTAGGCCATGAAAGTGCCGACCGTTTCGTTTTAGTAAGAGTTTTACGGCACCTGCAATACAATTAGGTCATATGTGCCAAAGACTAGAGGTTTTACAAGAAAGTAACAAACAAAAACAATAGAAGGAAGGAGAGAAGAGGACGACTGGTGTTTGAAAGGAAAGAAGCTGCAAACCACACCAGAGCATCCGCCCAGTTTACAGTGGTGTTTTGAAACAACCATAGACAGATTATGCGGAAAAAATGTAAAGGTCCTACACCCCTTGCAACATTGTAAAGTTATAATTATTTGAGAAGCGGAACCTTCGAATTTAACGCCCATCTCCGATGAGATCGTCAGATTACGCACAAAGATGTTAGCCGACGAAAAGCTCTTTAAAACAAATTAATAATCATAAAATAAAGTTATTATTTTTATTAAAATATTATTTACTTAGGTTTACTAAGGGTGAAAATTTTAACTTCAACAGCAAATGAAGATGACTTTTCCTTTCTTTCTGTAAGTCCCGTTATGGCCGCCTGTTCTGATAGATGATTATTTTTTTTCAAATATTATTACGGCTGAAAAATTTAACTTCAACAGCAAATGAAGATTACTTTTCCTTTCTTTCTGTAAGTTCCGTTATGGCCGCCTACTCTGCTGCCCTGTTTGTTTTCCCTGCCCCCCACGAGTGTTTTCCTCATCAAAAGGTTCCTATTGGTGGTGTCCGGACACATTTTCCGAGGAAACTAGAGCAAGCATAAAATTGGCATATGTCAGGAGAAAAGATTGGAGGGAGAGAGAGAGAGAGAGAGAGA